TACAATTGGTGTTACATCACCGTGAGCCTTAGCTCCAACTCCCACACACACGATCGTAGTACAGACTACTCTTGCCTCGCCCACCTTTGAAGCTCCACGGCGATGGTACTCCAATCTCCTTTGAGTAATCCCGCTTGATGCCAAGCATTCCCCTTTGCCACGATCCTCCGTATTACTCCGTCTAACGAGGGTGAGCCTCCATCGAAAACAATAGTGTTTCAATGTTTCCACAGTTCCCACAACACCAGGATCATCATGGCCCGTACGCTCTTCGGTTTTGTCTCGCACAAACTGTTCAGAGAGTCATTCACTTGTAGTGTCCATTGCGGCTTACCGATTACCGTGCATATCGTCCTCCACACCGTCCTAGCGAGCACACATATGAGCTCGATGTGATTTACCGTCTCCTCCTCTTGATCGCAGAACGGGCAGGTGTCATTGAGCGGCAGACCTCGGCGTGCTACGCGATCCGCTGTCCAGCATCGATTCCTCAAGGCCAACCACACGAAGAACCGGCAGCGCAAAGGGCCTTTGACTTCCAAGTGAATTGTGCCATCGGCTCCACTTCTTTGGCCGCAAACAGAGGGGCGTAAGCTGATCTGATCGAAAAATGTCCATTTGCCTCCCATGCCCAAGATAGGACGTCCTCTGTGCCCTCTTGAAGTGTGGTTGCCTGAAGTCTATGCCAGAGGTCAAGGTACTGCATGAGAGCCTCGAAGCTCAAGTTTGGCTTTACGTCCGTGGCCCACGTGCCTGCATGGAGCACATCCTTCAGTAACCGCCAGGCCCTCACACGCGGCTGACAGTTTCATAGATTAGAGTTGCAACCTCCAAAAGCCGGGCTCCGTCCAGCCAACGATCCTCCCAAAAAAGGATGTGGTTCCCGTTTCCAATTTCTGCCTTAGTTGCAGCAGAGAAGATGGCCATCGATGCTTTAGGAACTAGGATGTTGAATTCATGCCAAGGCCTTAGCTGACCTACTCTCTGTAACCATGCCCATCTGGCCTGTAAAACCACGTTCATCCCTGCAAGATTTGGGACGCCCAAGCCACCTGCCCACTTGGGCATGCAGACTGAATCCCAAGCGATGGAATAGTTTCAGCCGTTCGCCTGGGCCTTGCCGCACCACAGAAATCCCCGGATGATCTTAGTCATGGCATGTATAGTCTTCATGAGGAGGGCCAGAGCAAGCATGGCATGGATAGGAATCGAACATAGAACTGAGAGGACCAAAGTGAGTCTTCCACTCTTCGGAAGGGTAACTTCTTTCCATGTTGGTAGGCATTGTGCCAAGCGCTCCACCAAGTATTGGAGCTGGGCCGTGGACGGCTTCTTGAGACAGAGAAGGAGGCCAAGATATGTACAAGGGAAGGCCCCAATTTGGCAACCCAGACTGGTCGTTGTTAATAGTTTCTCCTCCTCCGAGTAGCGGTTGGAATGGTTGCCCTCTTGCTGAGGTTCACGTGTAGTCCAGAAGCGGAACCAAACAGCTGCAGAATGTGTACACAAGCACTCAAATCCGGTGTGCTTGGCTTGAGGAAGACAATTACGTCATCTGCAAAGATGGAGAGCCGTTACTAGATTCCATCCCGCGCAAGGGGGGCTAGGACCTGCATATCCACGGCCAGTTTAAAATAGCTTATGTAATGGCTCCATGATGATGATAAAAAGCATTTGAGATAGGGGGCCGCCCTGTCGGAGGCACTTGCAGCTGTGGACTGGGGCACTCAACGTTCCATTGACCATGATACAGGTGGAGGAAGTGGTCAGGAGCCCAGCGATCCAGTTTGTCCACGTTCTACCGAAGCCCATCACATGCAGTACCTCAAGTAAGAATGGCCATTGTACAGTGTCGAAGGCCTTTGAAATATCCAGCTTTAGCATGATGGTAGGATGTTTGAGTGCATGGAGACGCCTTGCCATGCTCTGGACGAGTATGAAATTATCATGTAGTGCTCTCCTTGACAAAAAGCACTCTGGTGGAGGCTGATCAAGTTTGGCAACTCCTCTGCTAGCCAGCACACTAGTACTTTGTCAAAACAAAAATTTGATCACACCATGCATCCAGCTAACGGGTCTAAAGTCCCGCAATTCCTCCGAGCCGTCTCTGTTTGGCAGAAGAGTAACAAGTGCTTTATTGATGGAGGCCAAACCCCTCATATCTCCGTGGTGGAACATCGAGAAAGCAGCCAACAGATCATCCTTCATGATAGACCAACAGGAGACATAAAATCTTGATGTGAACCCATCCGGTCCCGGAGCTTTGTCGAGTGCATGGACTTGATTGTAAATTTTTTGGTGTGACAATGAATATATACATTTTTCAATTTTTTTGGACATTTGCAGAAAGCATTTTGATGGGCAGAGCATACGCTCCCATGAGCCTAATTGGATTTCCGATGTTTTTAGTGCTAGTTTAGTTAGTTTGATACCCTGTTGCGGTTCTTCATAATTAATGAAAATGACAAATCTTTTGCCTAGTTAAAAAAAAAAGAAACTGTTGCGTTTTGGCTGTGTGTGCGCTCGATGAACTGGAGCAAGGGCGTCGATCTGGCGTTGTGTTGTACACGTGGGGTCTGTATTAACTAACTGGCGGAGTACGGGGTGGAGCGTTTCACTCTAGTCCAAACGCAGCAATGAGCAGCTGGCTGCCCGCGAGTACCGACGCGACGGCCGGCGTACGTGCTTGTTTCTTTCAGAATGGATTTCCCCTCCGCCCTTTACTTCTTCCGGCCGGCTCCAGAGCTCGTTCACTGGCCCTGTTTGGATACTCTAACTCAGTTAAAGGTTAGAGTTAGATTCTAACTCTAAACTAACCCCAAACTAACTCTAACCAAAAAGCTGTTTGGATGGTAGGGTTAGATTGACAATAAAATATTTTTTCTCAATTATTTTTACTACTTTGAACCTTGTTTGAATGGGAGGGGTAACTTTTTTTACTATTTTTGTAGTGGGACCAAGAGAACTAACCCAAATAAGCTCCTCTAGTGTGGGCTAGTTTTTTGGGGTGGGTTAGATTCAACTAACCCAATCTAACCCATCATGTTTGGATATTTTTGGGTTATTTGAACCCCAACTAACTAAAATAACTCTAACATAGGGATCCAAACAGGGCCACTGTCGCTGCTGCATGCGCTCCCCTCCGGTCCAGTCCAGCCGGCCAGCAGCTAGCTAGCTAGCCGTAGCGTCTTAATT